CTCAATAAAAAAAAAAAAAAAAAAAAAAAAAAAGGAGAGAGAGAGAGTCTAGGGACCAGGGGACCAGCAGTTGGTGTAATGGCTATGTCACTGGACTCCCATATGGTTGACTGCAGTTCAAGTCCTGAACCTGGTAGCTTAAACTCACACCAGGCACATGTGCATGCATGCCCAAGATCCCGAGAGGAGACTGGAGGAGAAGGGATTGCGGCGTGGTCATCCCTCTGAGGGGTGATTTCTTGCTTTCTTTTTCTCTGTCTCTCTCTTTTTGGTGAGTACATGTGCACTCAAGCAAAAAAAAAAAAAAAATCTCCTCCCCCCATAAAAAAAAGAGAGTCTAAGAGGCACCTTCAGGCTGATTTAGCTTGTGTATCAGAAAGGAGAAGGAATTAGAAAGGACAGTTTAAAAAGGCATTACCCTGGTGCTGTGGAAGTAATATCCTATATCTGAATATTTTGTACTGCCATTTTCAAAAGACCCTTCCAAGTATGTAATTTTGGAATCATGTCATTCACATCACTTTAGGTCCACTTTTACTATCTCCAGATAGGTGGAAAAACAATGCTTGAAAACTTTGTGTGGGTTTTTAAAGCTCTAGTTACTAGTTTCATGTCTAGCAAAGCAGAGAGACAAGAGTTATGGATCTCGGGAATCCCTGCAGCATTGGAAGGCTTTTCTCCTGCACAAGTTAAAAACCTTCTCTGAAAAATCATGAGTTTCTTTGGCATCTGATTTCTGTCATAGAAGATGGAGACAATTGCAATGGCTATTAATTTAGGAAGTCTCATGTTGGTTACTTTTATCTCTTTCACTTGCAGAGTTGTAACATCTTGTGGTTTGGTACATCAATTGTCCATTTTGTGGGTGGAGGTTAGTCTTAAATTTAGAAGATAAGAAGAATACTTACGGTTCCCCCCCACCTTGAATGTTTTCATGAGTAAACACAGGACGCTGTGGCTGAAATGAAATGATTTTCAATGTAATCAATGTTTAAACTGGTACTAATTAAAAGATAATTTGGATAATGACATGATATTTTTCTTGACATTTAATATTTCCTGTTGTGAAAAACCAAGAGGAAGAAAAACGAACCAAATAAAGGACTTCTGTAGGATTAATAATTAAAGTATTTTGAAGGGTGCTTTAAATGAAATAAAAACAACCAAGGTTCAAGTGTTTGGAACACATCCACAATCTAGTCTGTTCAAACTTTAAAAAGTTTGGGTTTAGTTCCATTGATTGTTCAGAGGCCAGGAATACATATGGCAAGAACATGGATACCAAACCCCTACAGTAGGAAGTGTAGACATCTTCATACAACCTTATTCTCCAGTGTTTTCTCAAACAAGCAGAAAATAAATCACATTTAGCTTGACAGCAAGGTTTCCACATTCAGTCTTTAAACTTTTCCTTCACAGACAACATGTTCACATACAGTACAGATGAAAATATCAATAAGCAGACATCCCATGCTACATTTGAGTCAACATTCTCTGTTCTCAATGTGGAGAAAACACATGCATTTTTAAAAAAAGAAAACAGGGAACTTTAAATAGAATGCAACAAACAATATCCAGGTAACATGTAACATTTTACCTTAGAAGAGAAATACTGGTAGAAATTCCCAGTGCACTGAACTCTCAAAAGAGTTTCCTTTCTTTTTAAACTAAGCATCAAGACCAGTATCTGTAATAGATACTTATAATATTGGAATTGACAGGCCTTAGCATCCCATATATCTACATAAATATTTCAATGAATGAAAGTTAACATGTTTGTTGAAGATGTAAACTCCGTGTAATTTACATGAACTACCTGAATGTTACCTTTTAGGGAGAAAAATGCATACAATTAATTCACAACACATTTCAAAAGCATTCTCTTCTAAATGATAGCTACACGACAAAATAAGAAAATCGGAGTTTGCATGGCAATTGTATAAGTGACTCTTTGATGGATATCGAATGAGTGATTAGATCCATGTCCTTAGACATCAAGCCCAGTTCTTGGATTCCCATACATGAGTGGATTACTGATAGGCTGGAAATTTTTTCCTACAAATTGTCTGTATAAATCTGTGGTCCAAGCTTAGATGGAGAACTCTCGGGCTCCTTTCAGTCTATGAGTCTATAATCTGCTTCCTCCTTTTGTTTTTTATCCACCCCTCTCTTATCCAAACTATCCATCAAGGGTAAGACTAGGTACTTGTACATCACTAAAACCTTAAGCTCTGACTCTATTAATTGCAAGCATTTAGTAACAGTATTTTTAGAATTTTTCATTCAACCCTCTGTCCATGTACTACATAAACTTACAACTAAAGAGTAAGAATGACTGAACACAAGTATGACAATATGAAGTAGTTTACTTTTATAAATCAATATAAAATGACTAATAGTGTATCTATTAATAAATTGCAAAATATATTAAGAATGACTAAGACTAAACCATTTTTAGATATTTCTAAAGGTCTTTTCATTCTAGATTTTATCAAATCAATTCAAATATACACAAAGAGGTAACCATAAGTCATCCACAAGGCTGTATAAAATTGCATTTCTTCAAGTTCTCTTCCAAGCCAATAAAACTTGCTGTGTGCATAAACTTGCGTGCAGAAGTAAGGTTTGTATATATCAACTGCCATTAAGACTATTTTATAATAATTTTTCACCTTATTTTTCATTTTAAGTGACTGCAGAATAATGTTCCCTCACATCTGTGTTTACATTTCAGTTTCCATAACCATCTCTCTCTCTCTTTTTGTTTCTGGGGTTAAGCTTAGTCTAGTCTTTCTTCAGTACTCTAAATACCGATGCTATTAACATTTTTATATGAAGAGCTATTTCTTCTCTTGAACGATTCATTGCAATGCATTCCCAGGAGTAAAACTTCTGGCCAAAGAGTACACATTAAAACCATACGATTCTCTCTTGCTCTCTCTCTCCCCCTCTTTTTTTTTTTTTTTTAAGAGATTTTTGTTATAGGGTATGTGCGCTCACCGGAGAGACAGAAAGCAAGAAATCAGCCCCGGGGAGATGGCCATGCTGCAAACCCTTCTCCTCCATTCTCCTTTCTAGATTTTGAGTGCACATGCAGACATGCCTGGTGTGAGTTTTAAGCTGTGGGGTCTGGGACTCGAACCACGTTTGGCCACTGGGAGTCCAGCAATGTAACCATTATGCCATCTGCTGGTCCCCAAATCATATGAATCTTAAAAATGTTCACATTAGTCACTCAAAACTACTGTGAATACGAAAGTAACTTTAGAATGCTCTAATACGCTGTACTTCAAATCACCTCAGAGATAGCTACTGTTCTCTCACAAAAACAATCAAAGTGCTATGTGGGTTGCATAGCAAAATTATAACTAAAAATATTACTTGTTATTGATATAACATAAAATGTTTTGTAAAGTGCATTTCATTGGGCCTATTTTCACAAAGATAAACCAGTCTAATTTTTAAAATTCAGTATAATTTCAACTGTTCTATCATGGCATCCAGTGGTTGGCAAACACAAGTTGGTCTATTTAGTGCTCCCATATGTGAAAATGTGAACACCACATTAAGATTCAAATTGTTCATTAATATTAACTATTTAAACATCAGTATAGAACCTTTTAGTTACCATCATTAAAATTCTACTAGTTGAATCTCTTCAAGTCAACCCCACTCGTAAATCACGGAAATGATCTGCCCCTTGGAAAAGGATAAAAATTAGGCTATTTCTCAAAGTATATGGTTTCCCTAATTCCAGAGGCTTCTATGTCTCAAGAATGACGGTCCTTGGTGTGTCAGCCAGTGACGTCCTGGCTATTAGCCATCTTTCCCAACACGTATTTTCTCTTCCTTTATGTCCTTCAAGCCTCCCTCTCTTTTCTCCCCTGCATCATCAGTTTTCTATACTGTTCACATACTCAGGCCAGGATTTATCATAGCTCTTCTTAGCAAAGAAGTTATCTATTGCTCTCTTCTTTTTCTTTTTTTTTCCTCCTCTGAAAATTGCCAAAAGGCATGTGTGCTCACTGGATAGAGACAGAGAGAGAAGGAAAGTGAAAAAGCACCCCTCAAGGGGTACGGCCATGCGTCAGTCCATTCTCTCCCCTGGACACACACATACATGGATCCAGCATGTTTTCAAGCTGCCAGGTCTGGGACTCAAATTGTGCTATTGGCCATGCGGGATGCAGCTGCCTTCACTACCACACCACTGGTAGGCCCAAGATGTCTATCTCTTCTAATGGTGAGTTTTAGAACTTTCTCAGGTTGCCTTTAACAGGAATCACCACCATGTTAACGTGAATAATTAGCAGCCAATTTTGAGGAAAGATGACCAACTATAGTATTGGAATTAATTTATTTTTAAAGTATTAGACCAATTGAAGAATATGTAGTATTAATAGTTAGTTATGAGGGCACGTTTGTGTTTGTTTTTGGCACTGACTGTAACGTGGCCTTCCTTGCCTCTAAAATCAACTCGTTGGACAAGAGACAATCAATCTTTTCTTTCTCAGAGAACCCATGAAGGCCTATCACTCAACTCTACTATGTACAAACGCCCATCATCGTCCATACACATTCAGCTGTTAGGTGAGCAACTGACATTTATCAGTTAATCCCTGAGCGTCTCCGTCATGTAAACACAATACTGGTAATAACCATTTCAGTTTTACAGTTAGTAATCTAAATCTTAAAGATACCAAGTAATTTCTTAATATAAATAGGTTAAAAAAAACCCAAATGAAAGATGACTTTGACGGAATGGAAAACCAACCTGATTAAAATTACCGTGTTTCTTTGTCCCTCAGGCGAGTGTCTATGTTCTGTATGGGTATGCAAGTAAATTATCTCGGGAAGCTTCTCTTTATGCCTTTTCTCCCTGGTGTTTTAACTCAATGCGCACAAACTTTTAGATCTGCAACGTATCTACACTCTACCGCCACCTAATGGTGAGCGGTGGCAGGAGCAAGCTACAAGCTGTTTTTGTCATGGTCAGCGGCCCGCAAAAATTCCTTTAGCCTGGATTAATTTTGAAAGAATATTTTAAGGAGCACAGAATGATAGTTGGAGTAGATATTAGTCTTTTTTTTATGATCAGGTTCTTTTCTTCCCACATCTTAAATTCTTTAGAAGGTATCACTCATTAACAACCAATATTTCAGTCTGTATTTATTTCTATTTTAACTGTCGGTTTGGGCATTTCTATTACTCATAACTCCTTAGGAGTTTTGAGATAAATATAGAAAAATACACAGTTGTGACATTCAGAGAGATGAACTGAAGAAGACTGTTTTCAAGGCAACAGCATATGACAACCACCATGCTGGAAATTTTGAGTAAGAATGATAGCATGTTTATATTTCCTTGACGAGTCTTAAGAGTACAATAAAACATAGAAAATAAAATGTGACATCATGCTGTTTTAATGGTATCTTTTCCTTAGCACTGCATTATTTTTTTCTTTTAGTGTAGTTATTTTTTAATATGGTGAAAAATGGATACAAAAGAGATTTTGAACACATGCTAATTTTCTTTTCTTCCCCTCCCCCCCTTTTTTTTTTAAGGTTTTTGCCATAGGGTGCATGTGCTTGCCAGAAAGAAAGCAAAACAGAGAGAGGGAATGTGAGAAATCATCCCCTAGGGCAATGGTCACGCTGCAATCCCTTCTCTTCCATTCTCCTCCTGGGATTTTGGGCATGCATGCACATGTCCCTGGCATGATTTTTCAAGCTCCTGGGTCTGGGACTTGAATCGCTGTTGGCCACGTGAGAGTCCAGCACCTTGACCACCATGCCACCTGCTGACCCAGCATGCTAATTTTCAAAATAAGAACCAATCATAAACCACTGTTCATAAAAGCTGCTTTGCAATATTCTAAAATATCAGTAAATATAAACTTCCCTATTTCAGATGGGGGGATATGGTCTGCTTGGAAACCATCGATTTATGCTTCGGTAGAGGTTTTTCTGGGGGATTGGCCATATCTAGTGGTCGATCATTTTAAAATAAAGATTGGCCACTGCTTTAATACTAATGTGGAAAGAATCTTTTAAAGGATTGCAACTATTGGTCATCAGAAAAGTCATGCCGTGTTTTTCTATGCAAAAATGAGTCATGACTTTTCCGACGACCCAATAGTTATAATGAGTCTTTTTTATTTTAAGAGTCATTTTTTTTTTTTAAAGAAAATGCTAGTTGTTATGCTTTCCAGCCAGAATTAAATAAAATTCTCTAAATAACGATACCATGTTTATGTGTGTAGGCTTATTTTTTCCTTCTTCAAGTTTGAAGGTAGAAAACAACTTTGCTAAGTCTAAAGAAAATAAAATATGTATGATCCACAGAAACATGTGTAATATAAAATACAAACACGTAATGTAAATCTGGCCAGCAAAACAAAATAAAAACAAAATCAAACAGAACAAAGCAAACCACTGCATTGACCCATTGAGCGTTAATTTAGAAAAAGCCTTCTTTCTCTTCTGGGTCTAGAAGGTTGTTCATGGAGCCTAGGAATCTCCACAAACTGACATGCTTTGTCAATGGCAACACAAATCTGTCTCAGCAACAAGATGAGGTCCTTCTATACGAAGCAAAAAGCACAAAATGGCATAAAATACATTTTAAAAAGTGAGAAAGAAAACCTTCTCTGGAACCAAGTTCTTAAGAACTTGAAATGTAGAACCACAGCCATGTGATTGACCACAAAGAGGGGAATCAGCAGATGGTGTAATGATTAAGTTGCTGGACTCTCATGTAATCAGTTGTGGTTCAAGTCCCAGACCCGACGGCTTAAAACTTACGCTGGGCACATGGGCCTGTGTGCCCAAAATCCCAAGAGGAGAATGGAGGAGACGGGATAGTGGGGTCCCATTCCCCCACTATGATTTCTCGCTTTCTGTCTCTGGTGAGCACATGTACCCTATAGTAAAAATCTCTCTCTTGAAAAAAAAAAAATTAAATGGTGAGGAGCCAGTAAGTAGTGTGGTGGTTAAGGTATTGGTTAAGGTACTGGAGTCTCACATGGCCAACTGAGGTCCTGGTGACTTGTTTTCTCACTTTTCCTCTTTCTCTCTGACTCTCTCTCTGGTGACTGCATGTGACCTGTAGCAAGTTAAAAAAAAATAATAAAATGAAATAATTAAGAAAAATTAAAGGGTGAAAGGAATCTTGACTTGTGCGCAATGAAAATTCCCAAACTCCTCCGGATTAGTAGTACCATTTAGAGTCCGTTCATTTTAAAGTGCCGTAGATGTTACAGAACTATTAATAGGTGGTTAAAGAAAGCAATTAGAACTTTAATTCCATCAAAGCTGTTGCTGTCAAGGAGTTGGGAGGATATGGAGTTGCACTAGGGAGAAAAGAGGCCCGGTGGGAATGTGGCACGTATAGCCAATGCAACAAAACACTTTGAAACAGGAATCACGGCCTAAAATTGATCCCAATAAATGGAACAACACAAAAGTAAACACTCCTGGAAGCGTGGGAGTTCAGTATGTGATTGGCAACTGTTCAGTTCTTTGCACTGAAAGCCAGAGACTAGAAGGCGATTTGAACATGGAAACGTGAGACAGATGTAGAAAACCGCACACGTCATACCCTCATTGTCCAGTGCAGAATTAGGTCGTGCCGTTCTGAGTTCTGGAAACACACATTAATGGGGAGCACATTACCCAAAGACTTAGGATAGGGTTTTCCTGTTGACCCGATTTCATAGCTCATCATCTGGGCCACTTCATCTCAGGGGTATCTGCAGCCCTGCTTTACTGCCAGTTCACAGCACAGACAATCGAGGAAGAGCAGCCCATGACAGGGAGAGTGGCCAGGTTGTCTGCCACCAGGTGGGAGTGTTCTGACCCTACCCTGTGGGGACCGCTGAGCCCTCTGACAGGCGAGCTGCAGGATCTCCTAGACATCACTGGGCTACGTGGAGGCTTACCCAGGACAAATATCTCGCTTTTTAAATCAGCCTAGAAAAGCCACAAGAAGTTAGTTAGTTCTCATCTTGATCAGACAGCCTGGGGAGTTTCGTTCTCTCCATGCACACACAGCATGCCACACTCCTGAATAACTGCAGAGCAGGAGCAGTTAACAGCCCGCAGGCCCCTCCACTGGGGGCTCCCCTCAGTCTGCACACAGCAGGTAACAGCAGCTGCTTCAACATGAACTCACCGGCACCGCAGAGAAAGGGTTACAGAGGGGAGTAGGCGCAGAGGAGAGGTTCGAATGCAGTGGAGGTGGCTAAGAACATGTTTAAAAAAAAGGCACCTCTTAAATAGATTGTTTAATAAATGTGTTCAAGATACTTGCAAATCTGATTTGTTTACTTCATGCTTACTGAACACAAGGGTTCTCCAAACAGTTCATGGAAAAATGCATAATATTAAAAAGAAAACACTGTGCATGCATTTTGATTTTTTTTTTTGGTACTGAAATAAATGCATTCTATTTTTCCATGAACTTTTGGAAATGCCTTAGTAGATGCAAGGTGAGATAGAGGGATATTTGTTTAAAACTCATTAAATTTCATGGAAAGTGTCAAACATTTGTCAGGGGCAAATTTTTCTAACAAACAAGTAAGAAGAAATTGAAGAATTTTTTTTTGGGGGGGAAGAAATGGGGAATAGTGAAATAATAATTAAATACTGAATATTGCCCTAACTACCAGGTTGCTTTGATATATTTTTATTTTTAAGTAAGATCTTTAATATGTCAGAAGATAAGCGAACCTTTCTTTTATGTCTGTTTTATTTTCTTTCCAGTAGCTGATGGGATTTAGTCATCTGCTATCTGGTATTTAATTTAGTGTAAGAGAATTTTAGCAGAACTAAGAGACTTTCAAATAAAAGCATGTGGTTTTCTTAACTCTCATTTGCAAAATTATCATAATCATTAGCAATCATTGATCTCAAATCCCCAATTTCTTGGGGTGAAATGTGGCTGGCATGCTTGCTTAAGGGCCATGGTAGAAAATACTTGACTTCTCCAATAGCCATTCTCTTCATTCAGAGTAATGGAATCTAAGAAGTTAGGTGGACACATGGCCATTCTGAATACAGACTGCATTTCCTAAACTTCCTTGCATCTGAAGTACTCATGTGGCATGTTCTGACAGATGGAATATGTACCGTTTCTGGGAAACAGACTACAAGGGAGAAACCATAACCTCCTCTCCCTTTTCTCCTTCCTGCTGGCCAGAATGAGAATGGAACTGCTGGAGTCGCCATCTTGGACCACACGATGGACACTTCTCATTGAGAATTGTGATGTGCCAAGATAAAGTGGAATGTTCTGGGTGTTCTGAACACGATGGAGCCACCATACTAGTCCTAGATGCCCAACATGTGTAAGAGAAATATATTTAGACCTTGTTTAAGTTTTGTTATTTTGAGTTTTCTGGCACTGTAGCTAGCCTACTCTTGACTAATACATACAGAGGTTCTACAAATACTAAGACTCGCAGAGGAGGAAAATCATTCTGCTGTTGGAATGATGTGGAACAGTAGCTAGAAAGCCCATCTCAATATACTAGGAAGCGTTAGGGTCTAATTTTACTTTGGAAACTGCTCAAAGGCATCTCCTCCTGAAGGGATTGCTTTAGGGTGATGAGACTTCCTGGAGAGAACACAACAACTTAGTTTCTTGGAAGACTCAAGATGGGGGCCCTTTCCCTCCCTTCACAAAGAGCCTGCAACTTCAGTCCAATTCTGTAAGTCTCTTTTACAGAATATTCTCTTGGATGGAATTGGAAGCTCAGCTTCTAGAGGAGCTGAAGTTTATACTAATTTTTATTGTAAAAAACCATTATTTTAAAAACAAATGCTCAAAAGACTAGAGAAAATATTGGATTCAGATTCATACATCAAACTCATAATTTATGTACTTTTCAGCCTTCTGCAATCTATAAAGTGGAAGTAAATTTTACTTTTATGAAAGAGATTTGATTGGACATGACACTGTCTTAGGAAATACTTTAAAAATTGCATTGATAATGTGTTAAACATAGTTGATAAAAATATTATTGTAATGTTTCATGCATACTAGGCTTATTAAAATGTAACTGTAATTTTATTTTTTCTTTGATTTCTTCCTTTGTAATGATCACCATTTCTAATTTTTGAAATGGACGAAATAGCTTTAAAGAACACAAGCGGCCATGGTTTGTCACTATGACACAGGGTTAAAGTATAACAATGACTTCAGATTTGGAGCTGATTCAATTTTTATGTATATTTATAGGCAGAGATAACTTCAGTCACCATATATTCTTTCTATGACTTTCGTATTTTTCTGTGACTAGAAAAGCAGATTTATCAGGTTAAAAAAAATTGGTGGAAGATTAAAAAAAACAAAAACAAAAACATTTGCTCCTAAACATGAGACAAAGTAGAGAGAAATCACTTTATTTCTCCAGAGTTAGTTATTTTATGTAGCTATTATTCTTCTGAGACATAGCTACTGTGAACACCTCCATTCTCTCATAGTGCTCTGCAAACATCAGAACCCTACAGAATATGTGGGATAAGCCTGACTATTACTGGAGAATAAACCTGCTTAAATCTTGGTTTTGTCCTCGATAGGGTCCTCCATCTTTCTAAATAAGATATCGCAGGTTCTTAAGTTTCTACTTTCCCACTTATTGACAAAGTTTAAGGCAGAAGAACGAAAAGGAAACAAAACAAAAAACAAGGAATAAACATCCCGGTCCTAAAAGTAAAACCACGAATAGAGGAGAAAAGACAAATTCTTAGCCATCATGTAAAATGGCATTATTTAGAAAATTTCCTATTTCTGGTCAGCTAAGATACAAACTTAAAGAGCAATTAATGTTTAAAATATTTCATGTTTTTCAAAAATTCCTTCACCGCTAGGATGGACTCATATAGACTATTGTGGTGGATGAATTGGGGATGGGGATTCAGAAGACACTGTAAATTGCACTTTTCAAATATCGCTGAAAGAACAGAAACTTGGCCTCACTGGAATCTTAACTGTCTTACCTATCTGCAGAAGCTCTCACTGACATTCAAAAGGTGGATTGTGAGATGAATTATTATGTGACATCTAATGCCTTTTGTCTAAAGATTTAAGCATCATCTGCACATGGAAACAACCCTCTTTTTTTAAGAAAAAAGAATTATTTTATTTAATTTTATTTATTCATTAATTTATTTTAATTTGACAAGAGAGAGAAAGAGAGAGAGAGAGAGAAAGCCACCAGGTCCAGGACTCGAACTGTGGTCGGCTATGTGGGAGTGTCCAGCACCTTAACCACCACACCACCTACTGGTCCCGCAACACTCTTCTATGATAGACCAAAATCATGCTGTGATTGTCATGAACTCTCTTTCCAAGACCAGTCATTATTTTTGTTATTATTATTATTTTAGAGATTTTTGCTGTAGGGCATGTGTGCTCACCAGAGAGACGAAAAGCAAGAAATCTCTCTAGTGTACTCAACAGAGAGACAGAGAGACAGAAAGGGGCCATGCCACAATCCTTTCTCCTTCATTCTCTTGCAATCTTGGACACGCATGCACATGCACTGAAGGTGAGTTTCAAGCCTCCAGGTCTGGGACTGGAACCATGGTTGACTACATAGGAGTGCAGTGACATAACCATTATGCCATCTGCTGGTCCCATTATTCTTCTTTCTTTCTTTCTTCTTTTTTTTTTTTTTTTTTTTTTTCTTTTTTTTTTTTTTTTTTTTTTTTTTTTGAGAGGTTTTTGCTATAGGGTGTGTGTGCTTGCCAGAAAGACAGAGAGAGACAGAAAGCGAGAAATCACCTCCCAGGAGGGATAGCCATGCCGCAATCCCTTCTCCTCCATTCTCCTCTCAGGATCTTGGGCACGCACGCACATGTGCCTGGCGTGAGTTTAAGCTGCCGGGTCCAGGACTCGAACCGTGGTCGACTACGTGGGAGTCCAGCGACATAGCCATAATGCCAACTGGTGGTTCCCCCTTATTATTATTTTTAAATGATATGCTTAGAGGAGTTAAATACCTGCAGAACTGCCAGCCTGCAGGTTTCAGAAATGGATGCTTTGTCGCTGCTACAAAAGAATCATTCTGCCTGCATCCTCAGCCATTTACTTCACATTTGTGGAAAGAGGAGGCTCAAGACAGTCAATGGTGGAGATCGCTCCAGGGGCTCTGCTAAACCTGATGACGGTGGCAGATGATGGGAGGCCATGAGCCTACTAAGTGACAGGGGATGACAGGCACAAAGCTGACGCCTTCAGATGAAATCATTCTTATGCTAAGCCTCACCATTTTTATTATTTTTTAAAAATTCTAGTGATTACTTTTTATTATGATACACAGTTTGTTTCCTTCTCAACCTAGGTATAGCTGCTATGCAAATGTGTATTTAAAATGTTTGGATAGAGGGCATGCTAAGGGTGTTAAAAGTTAGCCATCAATATTTACATAACTCCTTTGATCTTGTAAAGCGGCACAAATCTAAGTACATACAGCTAATTAATGAAGTTTATTTAAAGACATGCAGTAACTCACACTCCGGATGCAGTTACCTTTAATTTTGGTGAATGTATCTCCTGTTGACAAGAGTATTTAGGGAGGAGAGGAGGCGAAGAGGGCTGGGGAGGCTGAGAAAGTGTAGAGGGCAGGTCAGAAACAGAGGCCAGGGGGGAAGGAAATGGAGGGGAACTGAGTAGACAGCCGGGGAAAGGTGTAGCCGTTTGCTCTCCCGAAGAAAATGGAGGTGGCTTAAATATTGAGGAAAGACAAGATGAAATTATGCTTGTGTCCAGAACGAGGTTACATATCTTCAGAGAACAGCCTCCGAACTTAACGTTAACATTACCAAATACTCTGGAAGGTGACATTTATGAAAAACCTTCATGTGAAAGCACTTTTTGTTTCCTCAGCTGATTTAACATTCCCATTGGGTATGATCAATTTAAGTTTTCACATATAGGTAGCTATCTTCTACAGTTCTGCCATATATTTGTAAGTGGACTTCAAAGGAGGGAGAAATGGAATTAAAATATGAGTATATTTTGATGCAGAAAATTGGAAACCCATGCATAATATTTTTATATGTATTTTCCATGAACTTCTTGAAGACCCATAGAATGTGATGGCTCCTTTTAAACAGGAAAGGGAAAAACATCTAACACCCCACAATAACTCTTTGTGACATGTCTGTAAAGCAGGTCACAGACTGTTTATAGTTTGTCACAAAGCCAGGGAAGGTATGATGTCTGTGTCCCTGCTGCAAACTGGCTTTCAAATGCCTTGAACAGTGCCTGCTTGGGGTGCCGTCTAAGGTTGGCAGGAACATTTCCTATGAACAAAGTCACGTATCTCATCCTGTCTTAACACTGATTAAATGGAAAGGAACAGCAGTTATATAATAACTGACTTAGAAGCATGTTTGACTTAGTAAATAAATCATTTCTACTACTAACCAGTGTGTGTGTTCTGCACAGGCATGGTTGACATTTCCCTTCTAGCTGAGCAAATAGCCAACCCTCAGGGTTTTCTGGGTGTCCCAGAGCTTTCCAGACACTGACCATCCTGTATGTTTGCTCCTGGTAAGATCTTAATAGGAAACTATTAATGACCTCATTTTTCAAGATGCTAAAATTGAGGAACTATGAGGGAAAACGATGTGCGAAATTTGCTAATTGGCTTGCTGTCAAAATCACATGTATTTGAGAGTGTGAGTGTGTTTTGTTTTGATTTTTAAAGAGACGTCTATAGGGTAAAGTTTCACAATATTTTCCTTCTTTGTAGATGAAAACCATTGCTCAAGGTCCTCTGTAAGATGAAGATGCAGGACCTAGTTCTCAAATAGCTACCAACTTGAAGAAAATGACTTCTTCAGAAAAGTCAAGAGGGGTTAGACTAGGGTAGTATTTTTCTTTTTGTTTTCTCTTTTAAAATTTTATTTATTTTATTTCGCTTTTAGAAAGTGCCATTGCATCCAAGGTATGGAGTATGGTTTTCTCAGATTGGAACTGGACTCATCTCTCTGTATCACATTCTTCAATAATATAAATATTATACATAATATACATATTGGAAATATAAATATTTCCTAAATAATATCACGTACCTCACTGGGTTTCAAAAGTTAAAGGTATACTGTTCTTAGCATGGTAAGGCACTCAGAAAGAGCTGAGCTACTGGAAAATGACAAAGACTTGTAAAATGTGAATTTACAGTCATGAGCATATATGGGATACTGGAATGGTATCACATGTTTACATCATTTTATTAAAATACGGCATGTTGTTATATATCCCTCCACCCCTCACTCATACAGGGCTAGGGTTTCTTATAAAGCAAACTGTTAAGGCAGTGTCAAAATAGGTATTTATTAATATGATGAGCTGGACTGGTTAATCATAGTAACACTGGTTAGTTCTCCAGGAATTAGGCAAATTCAAATACCTCGTTACTGGTTTTTGCCACACTGCTGTCTTCCTGAGGGATCCTGGGACCCGTAGGAATGGCTACCGGGTATCTTAAGCGGCTCGGTGTGTCCTCCTCCTCCTCATCAATGTGTAGGCTTGGTGTCACCTCTGTACCATCGTGGCCACACCACAAGGCCTCTTGCTCTGGGTGTTCTGGCACCCTTTTTCGGATGCCTGACACAATCCCTTCATAGAGTTCCTCATCTTCCTCTCCAATGACCGGGAGTGGAATAGGCAAGGAGCCCACGTTAGTATGTGCAGAGGCCACAAACTTATCACCTAGGATGTCAGGCACCTTCTCAGGGTCAGAAAAGGCCCTTCTCATCCTTTTCGAATCTGCAGACTTGGTCTGAGTGGTTTTCATGGGATCCTGACTTGGCACTGTCTGGTAAGGCTGGGCTGTGGCTGAAGTCACACTCGTGCAGGGAAAAGGTAACTGAAAGTGAGGTGAGTCGGCTGACACGGATGCTGGAGGCAGGGAGAGGAGAACGGTAGGTTCCTCTGTAATTTCCAGTGTGATCTCTTCTGGGATATTTGGTTTGGCTTGGTCAGGTGAGAAGGTTAAAGCACTAAGTTTCTCCAGTTCATCCAGGAAATTGTCCAGAAAAAGAGAAGACGTTGGGGACAAAGCACTGGCTGGTGGACACGCTGCTGTCAGGGACAGCCAACCCTGGGTGACTCCTTGGAGGGTGCCTTTATCTGTGTCAGTTGAAGCTTTGTGCATGGGAGGAGGGGCCCGTTCACTGGGAGCCAACTTAGAAATGAAAAGGGATTATGAAGGCCAAAGAACAAACCAAGAAGATAACAACAACGTGTCAGAACACGGAGACAGAGAAAGGCAGGAAAGATGTGACACTGAATATAAAAATAATTTTATGTAACGACAGACATAGATTTGAAGGTATTTTACAGATATCTAAATTGGAAGATATTTTCCTGAATTTAAAGAAATAAGCCCACTGGCATGTTAATTAGAAAAGTTATAGACAAATGAAAATTTACTAGTTTTGGAAGGGTTTTTTAATGTCAAATAACAAGATAAATCTGCCATAGAGACTATGAAGACAGTGAAATCTTAAGAGCTTTAATTTAATAATCTATCTCTTCCTCTTTTCTTTTTTTTTTTTGAAAGAATTACTTTATTTCATTTATTATCATCGTTAAGCTTTGAGAAAGAGAAATTGAGCAGAGAAATAGAGAAAGGGAAAGTAGGAAAGCAAGCCTCCTGTTCTAGGACTCAAACTGCACTTGGCCATGTGAGAGTCCAGCATCTTAACCACCATACCACCTGCTGGACCCAATAGTCTGTCTCTTATAAATGATGTTTAAAAGATATTACTTATTTCCAGATATTGATTTAATAGTATAAATAACTTAAGAAATGTGAATGTAGAAATGACAACGCATAGTTAAGCCTTTTTATTCTCTGAATTTGTTTGCTATTCTTAGTTCTTGTAATAGTGCTCAATCTTTTGAATTTTCACCATTTTCTCACTTCTCTTTGTAAGGTGATTTTAACATAGGGCATAGATTATTTTAGACCATTATACATTAATACACTTCTAAGTGAGTAAGCTCTGAAAAATATGTTTCAGGAACAGAAACCCATGGTTGGAATAAAACTGAACTTACATAACTACTGCTTCAAAGTTAAAAAATCTCCAAAGTAAATATTTACATAGAAAGGGAGCCTATGAGAGTGTGAAATGCTAACGAGAGCGTGAAATGCTAGAACTTCCATTCTCTCTCAAAAACTTGACATATTTCATGTAAACCCAAGGAACTATAATTTATGAAGCTTGATCTCCTGAAGTAAAATTATACTTCTGGGTTTCTTAACATTATCAATGTGTTTTATATATATTTAAACAATTACCTTTAAATTTTCATGCAAATTCACTACAATAGTTCTAGAAGGGCCATCTAATAACATTCTAATACATTTGTCTATCCTTATTGAACTAGAAAAATATGACATGATATGCACAGAAAGGCCTTGAAGGATGTGAATGACCTTTTCTTTCTTTCTTTTTTTTTTTTTTTGAGAAATTTTTGTTACAGGGCATGTATGCTCACCCAAAAGACAGAAAGAGACAGAGGGAAAGCGAGAAATCACCCCTGGAGGGTGGTGGCCATGCCTCAGTCACTTCTCCATTCTCCTCTTTAGATTTTGGGCACACATGCACACATGCTTGGCGTGAGTTTCAACCTGCCTGGACTGGGACTCGAACCACCCTTGGCCACGTGGGAGTCTAGTGCCTTAACCACTATGCCACCTGCTGGCCCAGTGAATGATCTTTTATTTTAGGCCTTGGTGTGTATAATTGCACAGTGCAGCTTCCACTAAACTTTTGACTTCTGTGTCCTATAATAAGAAGGAGCATTGGTTAGATTTCTTTAGGTTTTTGTTTTGCTTTGTTTTAAAAAGGAAAATATGTCTTCTCGTCATGGAGTGGCATAAATGGCACAATGCGTCACACAACTCATGTAGGTTTCACAATGTAAGATTCAAGACTCAAGGCTGCTCAGCACCTGAAACCAAGCGAGACTGTATGTGTAGTTTGTGACTGGATAGCGCCCCTCCTGACAAGGTCATTAACGTACATGTTCACAGGGTAAACTGCTTAGCTTCACAATAGACTTGCTTATACTGGAAGAAAAACTAAGTATGCTGGGATGCCTATTTATAAAAATATACCTATTACACACAAATCATATAATTATTCTATTTTCCAAAAGCATTAACATTGGAGTCTATTGTACTAAAGGTAAACATAACACATATAATACCAATTTAAATTTGGATCTGCCCTAAAATAAAGATCATACACCAAGAAACATGATATGAATGTGTCAAAGAGTGATTCACGAATTATTAGTAAGTTCCTTCCTCTATTTGCGAATACTGGTTAAAAAAAAATATATTACACTAAGTGTATTTTTCAATGCCATTGTTTAGAAGTATTTTTCTTTCCGAAAATGATTCAATGTCATACTACTGATAAGTTTCCTTCATTAAGCCAATGACATTACAGCACGGATTCCCAGTTGGGATAAGACTAGTAAGTATTTCTTTCAAAGTGTAGACATGAGCTCCTCAACATATTCCCCCCAACACTGAGAATAAAACACTAGTTATTAGTAAAATTAGCACACTTTTGTTTTTCAAATCTATAAGAAATTTATAAGAAAAAATTGAGATGACATTTAGATGCATTTAAATTGTATTCATAAGGAAGTTTAAAACATTGTAATCTAAAATATTATGTTTTCCCATTACTAACTAGGGCATAGGGAAGAAGTTTTTAAAATGTTAAATTAATCTTCATAGAAACATGGTCTTTAGTCCATAAACATTTCATCTGGATCAATTTGAAATTTATTTGGTAGGTCTTATAAGATGAATGAAGAGTGGATAAGACAAATATATGAATGGAGATTCTTATCTTTTCTCTTTATCAGTAGTAACTACTGAAGGAAAGATGTTGATCTCCAGATGCTAAAGTCTGATAGTAAAGTAAGTAAACTTAAGTTCTGGAAAATTACATAATCAATCAAACAAAATTAAATAGTACAAAACTATTCTGCTACCTGAAACTGAAACCCATCTTTAAAGCATTAGAAAAAAAAATAAAATGTCTAACTTTAACTCTTTTAAAAGGAAATTAAGGTTGTAATTTCTTAGATCATTTACTTATTTAAAATCCTTCTAAGGCTCATTTTTGGGGAGCAGTTCAGGTCCCTGGGGACAGTCTCTGGAAATAATCTTGCATTGGAACGTGAAGTGACTTGACACTTTATGATGTCTGATCTGTTGATCTCACTAGTTCTAGATGGTTCCTTTTTCCATGGCTCAGACTTTATCTTAATCAAAATAATTAACAAATTGTGCAACCTATTACTGTTTTTTAAAATGTTAGGAAGTACTTCCACTATTTTGGAAGCAATTCTTTGGCAAATTATAATTTCATATTTTGAGTTAATGAACAGGAGAAAGAAATTCCTAAATACCATCCTTAAAAAGTATATATTATAATTAAATAGAAAATATTAAAAAAAAACATAGTGAGTAAAGGATGCAAAAGGATAGCCATTTCTGATTAACCAACTCAGAAAGCAAAAGTCACTTTTAAATTACATATTAAGAAAGATAAAAATGTTTAGCTACTAGCTCAAGTGAAACAGTAGGTGACCTCTAATTGTCCAGAGACTAATGTAAGACTTATAAGAGTTCACAACATTTTCATTTGAATGAATAAACAGATGTACAAACTCTAATTTAAAAACTGTCACTCTCTATATTAAAAATAACCCAAACTCAGGATTTTTATAGAATTTTATCACTCTAATAACTATATATTCTTGAGATTCATTGTTTGGGGCTAGATATATACTGTTTTATTTTGTATATCTTTATAATATTTGCACATATAAATTGTAAATTATATCGATATATGTGTCGTATTTATATATAAATAAAATCAAAGGATTCACATAAAACTTATATCTATCTTTCTATCTCTATACATAAAATCAAGCTTCAGGAAAAAAAAATCAAGTTTCAGAAAACACATACGTGTGTCTAAACACAGAAATACAAAGCACCTAGCCGATATTAAATATATTTACTGACATGGCACTCAGGTAGAAACACAATATGGAAATCTTTCTTTGCAGTCGGTTAGATGTAATCTGATGCCATAAAAATCATACACTGATTATCTGACTTCACCGTCCCAAATATTATATTAATATGACAGAATATTTTCTTACCTTGTTTGAACTTAAGCTGTGAATTCTATCGCTAGAATAGCTGTGGGGTATTGGGAGTTCAGGGTAGTCCTCAGCACCTTTTGTATTCTTCTTGACGACCTCTACATAGGAAACAGGGAAGATGCCTTGTCTGTTGGTTCCTGGAATTTTACCTTCATACCAGTTTTGATCAACTCTTTTAAGAAGAATAATTCTATCTCCCTGTAATGGATATTAGGAAAACACATTATAAATAGAGGCACAATGATATAAACATATAATTGTCAGTGTTTTTCTAAGAAATAACAGCTTTCTATTTGGGAAGATTTTTATTTTTTTAAAGAATTATTTATTTACTATGATTTAGTATTATTTTTAATTTGCTCTAGGGCATGTGTGTTCACCAGAGAGAGACAGACAAAGAGAGAGAGAGAGGGAAAGTGAAAAAGCAAGCTGCCGGGTCTGGGACTCAAACCACAGTTGGCCATCTGGCAGTCTAGCATCTTAACCACCATGCCATCTGCTGGCCCCCTTGGGAAAGTTTTATACCTATAGTGTTTAATTAAGGGATATAAGGAAGGTCTGAGTGCTTACTAGAAAAATACAGATTACAGAAGCCTGTGCAATTAACTTATCCATTCATAATTAGAACAATCCCTGAGGATGCTTGGGCTTTTCCATGTTTGTAATGATGCTGTATAAAATTATTTGTGCCAGTTTTTCTTTCCTTCTACTCTGTCTCCTTCCTTCCTGCCTATAGGTGACCTCTAATTGTCCAGAGACTAATGTAAGACTTATAAGAGTTCACAACATTTTCATTTGAATGAATAAACAGATGTACAAACTCTAATTTAAAAACTGTCACTCTCTATATTAAAAATAACCCAAACTCAGGATTTTTATAGAATTTTATCACTCTAATAACTATATATTCTTGAGATTCATTGTTTGGGGCTAGATATATACTGTTTTATTTTGTATATCTTTATAATATTTGCACATATAAATTGTAAATTATATCGATATATGTGTCGTATTTATATATAAATAAAATCAAAGGATTCACATAAAACTTATATCTATCTTTCTATCTCTATACATAAAATCAAGCTTCAGGAAAAAAAAATCAAGTTTCAGAAAACACATACGTGTGTCTAAACACAGAAATACAAAGCACCTAGCCGATATTAAATATATTTACTGACATGGCACTCAGGTAGAAACACAATATGGAAATCTTTCTTTGCAGTCGGTTAGATGTAATCTGATGCCATAAAAATCATACACTGATTATCTGACTTCACCGTCCCAAATATTATATTAATATGACAGAATATTTTCTTACCTTGTTTGAACTTAAGCTGTGAATTCTATCGCTAGAATAGCTGTGGGGTATTGGGAGTTCAGGGTAGTCCTCAGCACCTTTTGTATTCTTCTTGACGACCTCTACATAGGAAACAGGGAAGATGCCTTGTCTGTTGGTTCCTGGAATTTTACCTTCATACCAGTTTTGATCAACTCTTTTAAGAAGAATAATTCTATCTCCCTGTAATGGATATTAGGAAAACACATTATAAATAGAGGCACAATGATATAAACATATAATTGTCAGTGTTTTTCTAAGAAATAACAGCTTTCTATTTGGGAAGATTTTTATTTTTTTAAAGAATTATTTATTTACTATGATTTAGTATTATTTTTAATTTGCTCTAGGGCATGTGTGTTCACCAGAGAGAGACAGACAAAGAGAGAGAGAGAGGGAAAGTGAAAAAGCAAGCTGCCGGGTCTGGGACTCAAACCACAGTTGGCCATCTGGCAGTCTAGCATCTTAACCACCATGCCATCTGCTGGCCCCCTTGGGAAAGTTTTATACCTATAGTGTTTAATTAAGGGATATAAGGAAGGTCTGAGTGCTTACTAGAAAAATACAGATTACAGAAGCCTGTGCAATTAACTTATCCATTCATAATTAGAACAATCCCTGAGGATGCTTGGGCTTTTCCATGTTTGTAATGATGCTGTATAAAATTATTTGTGCCAGTTTTTCTTTCCTTCTACTCTGTCTCCTTCCTTCCTGCCTACCAAGGGCATATGTGCAGGTCAGAGATAGACTGAGAATCAAAGAAAGAGAAAGCACCCTCAATGGAGTGTGGCCACACCACAATCCCTTCTCCTCCATTTCTGCACCCTGTTGGGATTTTGGGTGCTTGTGCACATGGGCCAGGAATGTTTTTCTAGCTTCTCAGGGCTGGGATTTGAACTGAGCAGTTGGCTCTGTGAGATTCAGCTCCCAGTAGGCCATGGAGCTGGCCCTGTGCAAGTTATTTCAATAACCAGAAGAGCTTTATAGGAAACGTCTTGATGACAGTAGCATCATCCTGTCTCTGACAGAGTCAGCAGAATGGCCTCTACAGCAAGAGCATCAAAAAGTGTACCCCAGTTTTCTGTGACGGTGTGTCTTCACGTGTTCCAGAAATCACCCTCTAGGAGGGATAAAGCTGAAAGGCACACGGTTTTCTTCTCCAATCTCCATGTGGTAAGTGATGACAGAGAGTAAACTGAAGTTACTGGGCAAAGACAGCACAGATGGAATATCCACAGCTGGCCGGGAAAAGGCATTACAGAGACATGCCCTGGTCTGCACCAGGACAGTGAAACATCCATCCAATTAGTTGGTGACCATGCCACTGAATAGAACCATTTGCTTCTGCAATAAATTTCTACAACCACTATTCATTCTACCTGCACTGACAAAACCAATGCTACCAAACGGAGTTTAAATTTTAGCTCCAAACCACACGTGCCGAGAAATAAATAGGCAAGTTGCTGCTAAACAGCAGAACTGCAGTTGCATCCGGAAGGTGATACAGAAGTTTGGGCAACTGCTCCTGATAGGGTGATGGAGCTGGTGCACAGTTAGCAACTTCAGAACAACAGAAAGCCCTTCCTCAGCTGTTATTCAAGGAGCAATTACTTTATTTTGTCAAAATTCTGGATGATTCACTTAGCATGTCTAATTATCACTGAGCAGAGCAATAATGAAGAAAAATGAATCTTCCTAAATCTTAAAATGGCACTGATTTTCTAATCCACCAAGGGCCAGCATTGGTAGGTTGTTGTATAAGCAATAAGATACATCGACTGGGGCCCGCGGGTGGCATGGTGGTTAAGGGTGCTGGACTTCCTCATGGCCAACTGTGGTTTGAGTCCTGGACCTGGTGGCTTGCTTTCTCATTTTCCCTGTCTCTCTCTCTCTCTAGTCAAATTAAATAAAGTTAAATAAAATAATTCTTTAAAAAATGTCAGCAAAACCTTCCCTTAAAGGACAAAACAGAAACTGATGTGGCTCCGGCAATGCTGGGTGGTTCTCTGCGCTAAGTGGTGCAGCATGGAGGGTAGAAAAGAATCAGTTGATGACGGAAGACCAGACTGAAAAGACACAGGGCGACTAGTTCTGCCAGGACAGGGCTGTGGTATTTGCCTTGATGGAACCTGGTTGAGGATTTCACTAGTAGTCATGGGAGGTCCCAGGACCACCCTAAATATCACTTTCTAGTCTGTTTTATATAAGCAAGTGGTTACTGCAAACAAATATACGTCATTGTTCAGCAAGCTGTAAACATCGTTCATTTATCATTCTCCACTATAGAAAGCAGCCAGTTAAGACTCTGTTTTTTCAGTTGCCAGAGTGTGTGTGCCTCACCAGAGGGAGACAGAGAGCCAAAGAGAGAGAGGGAAAGAAAATACCCCTTTGGGTAGGCAAGTTAACATGAGGCATGGTCGTGTTACAATACCTTCATCTCTCTGTCCTGTCAGGATTTTGGACATGTATACCCATGTGTCTGGTGTGTTTTTCAAGCCAGCAGGGCCAGGATTCAAACTACAGTTGGGCAGAAGAGATCCAGCTTCCTCTACTAGCATGCCATGGGTCCAGCACTAAGGGAGTCCTTTTCGATGTTGTTAAGAAAAGAGAATAAACTTGATAGGTTGCTAGTGAAGCTTGGGACAGCATGGAGCCCAGAGAGGGTTGACTGGAGAAATAGCACTATTGATGGCTCTCTCAAAATGCTCCCTAGAGAGGAAATATTTTCATTGTTTTGGGACCAGTCCTAGATTCTAAGGTAGATGAAAATAGGTATTGGAACATCTTGTTAAAAAAAAATATTTTTTAATTGCTAGAGGGTGTATGTGCTCATCAGAGAGAGATAGAGAAAGAGAAAGCAATGGGCATAGCCACTCCAAAAGACCTCCTCTTCCATTTTTCTATATTGGTGTGATTTGGGGCACACACACACACACACACACACACACCTGGCATGTTTCTCATGCTGCTAAGGCTGAGATTCAAACCATAGTCAGCCACGTGAGATTCAAGTCCCTTAACCTCTAGTCCACCGGGTGGGCCTGGGACATCTGTTTTCTTTTTTTTTTTTCTTTCTTTTTTTTAATATTGAATAATAAAGAGCAGAACAACAATGTTTTGAAATGTTTAAAAATGTTAAAGTTCTTTTTTTTTCTTTTAATGGATAACATTAATATTCAGCCTTAGGCATCCTTTGGAGGATTTGGGGCCCTGCTTCCCTGGAAAAGCCACAGAGCAAGTCTCTCAGAGGAGCTCTGCATTCCAAAAGGACTCATCTGGAAGGACACAGGGTCAGTAAGTAATGGACTCTAGGCAGCATGAAAGATTCCTGGATAGGGACCAGCTGGTGGCAAGGTGGTTGGGATGCTGGACTCTCTCATGGCTGACTGTGGTTTGAGCTCGGACGCGGAGGCTTGAAAACCATGCCAGGTGCATGTGCGTACCCACAATCTCAAGAGAAGAATGGAGGAGAAGGGACTGTGGTATAGCCATCCTCCTGGGGTATGTGGGGGTGACTGGCCACTTTTCCTTTCTCTGTCTCCCTTTGGCATGTACACATGCCCTATGGCAAGAAACAAACAAACAAAAAACACACTAAAAAACTATATATATAAAAAAATAAGAGTCCTTTGCAGAAAATGGGAAAACACAAAAACTGTCTAAGGAAGATTACCTACCTTAGTTTTGAAAATATACAATCTTTACAAATGGGCTAATAGGGAAAAAAAAAAAAGCTGGATTACCTTCCTCAGAGATAGCTCTACGTTTGTGTCTGCGTTGAAATTATATTTGGCTATAGCTTCTCCGATTTCTCCAGGCTGGGCTGGGGGAGGTGGCCTTGCAGGCTGTGTTTTTTCAGGAGGTGTGAGTTTCTACAAAAGAAAATTCATTCATTTCTTGTGGCTGGGGTGACTTTTGAAATAACCATCCAAAAAGGAGGGGGAAGGACTTACCTCGACATAAGAGATTGGAAAAATGCCCACTCTTCCATGGTGTTCTCCCTCATACCAATTTTGATCAATTTTCCTGAGGATGTAGACAGTATCTCCTTTTTTAAATGACAATTCCCTGGAAGAGACATGATTAAATGGACTTTAACCATGGCCTTTTTGTCTGACCCCTCCAGCAACCAAACTTAAGATCAAAATCCTCACTAGACCTTTATTTTCCTGGAAAATTTAATTCCAGTATTTAAACATTTGTTGAGCCCAGTTAGAGAAGGCTTCTCTCTGCAAATTCTTAGAATTCACTTAAACTTTTAAAAATTATTTGATAGGTAAGTTTGTACCTCATACAAATCATGAGAAGATGAAGATGAAATTAAATGAGGGGACAGACTATGGCCGATTAATCATTAGTTTATAGTTAGAGGCATTATGAAGCCTGGAAATTAAGGATTCATTTCATGCTGATTTTATTGTCCTGAAGCTAACTAGCTAGTTATTTCTCGCTGTCCCTTCTGGATATTCAAATGTGTACAAAAATGAAATATCGTGTAGCCTCAGAACAGAAATGCCAACACCAGATACACTTTTATTTGTGGATATTTGAAGTTGGTTGACAGATTTTTTAAAAAATTTACTATCATCTTAATTTTGTTTATATTACATTGAGTTGCATATAGCTTTACAGTGTATTACATTGCTTTTTCAAAAGGGACTGCCAGGGAACCAGCAGTTAGCATAATGGCTATGTCGCTGGATTCCCATGTAGTCGACCGCGGTTCGTGTCCCGGACCCGGTGGCTTAAAACTCACGCCGGGCGCGTGTGCGTGCATGCCCAACATCCCGAGAGGAGAATGGAGGAGAAGGGATTGCGGCGTGACCATCCCCCCTGGGGGGTGATTTCTCGCTTTCTG